TCACCTGCCTCGTCTCCCAAGTGTTGGGATTAAAGGTGTGCACCACCATGCCCAGCTATACACAAAAACTTTAAAATAGTCATGATAAATATAGTAATGAATCTATGGAAAACATGATATAATGAGTGAAAGATCAGAAACGTCAGGAAAGGACGGCATGAAAACTGAAATGGAGTAAATGGAATCTTAAAACATAAAATATACAAATTAATCAATAAATTAATTGAGTGGAATTATAACAAACTGACCAAAACCAAGTAATTTGTTGAACTTAAAATTTGGAACTATAGATTGAATATTTTTGTTCCCCCAAATTCATATACTGAAACCTAATCTTCATTGTGATGAATGGGATTTGTGCCTGTAAGTGAGGCCCCAGAGAGTACCTCACCCTCTCACCAACAAGACAATGAGAAGGCAGCTCCTAAGAACTAGAATGCAGGTCCTCCCTAGACATTAATCTACCAGGACCTTGGTCTTAGATGTCCAGTCTCTATAACTATAAGAAATAAATTTCTTTTTTGTAAAGTTATAAAGGCCTCAGCAAACTAAGATAATAGCTCAATAAAAATCAAACTAATGCCCATTGAAAAAATGTGGGAGAATATGAGCTAAACTTCAAAAAATATGTATAATTAAAGTTCATAAAGAAAAAGAGAATAGAACAGGAAAATCTATTTGACAAAATATTGGTGAGAAATGCATTTTCCTCATTATCAGAAATGGATTCAAAAAGTTTAATGAGCCCAGACATAAATAACACAAACAAGTCATGCAGAGGCACATCATTCTTAACTACTAAGTCAACTATATAGAAAGAAGACATCTCCACAGGGAAATAATGAAAATGTTGGCTGATTTCTCATCAGAAATAAGGTAAGCCAGAAGAAAACCATATCAATAATTACATTAATTAAAAATAGATTAAACACCCTACTTAAAAGAAGTTGTCAAATTGGATTTTAAAAAGATATGACTTTATGTGACTAGCAAAACATTTTCTTTATACATAAAGGCACAGATAATTTGAAAGGAAAACACAAAAAAGTTGATATGGCTGGACGAATATCCCAGACAAAAGACTAGCGGTATTAACAGAGACAAGGAAGGCATGTCATAATGATATAAGAATCAACTGTTAATAATGGCCCAACTCCTTTTTGATACACAGCATTCTTAATAGCAGTAGGCACAGACACTTAAATAATTCATGTGGATATTCTTTGTTGTATTAGTTACTTTTCTGTTGCTGCGATAAAATACTATGACCAAAAGCAACTTAAAGAAAAAGAGTTCATTTGACTCACAGTTCCAGAGTGTGGTGGTTTGAATGAAAATGCGCCCCCTAGGCTCCAAGTATTTGGACATTTTGTCCCCAGTTAGTAGCACTGTTTTGGGATGTCTTAGAAGGTGTGGCTATCCTAGAGGAAGCACATCACTGGGAGCTGGCTTAGAGAATTCTTAAGCCTTGATGGATCTCCAGTCACTCTCGTGTTTCCTGTGCCAGCTTGAAGACATGAGAGCTTAACCTCTGCTGTGCCTGCTCCAGCCACTGTTTTGGTCAGTGATTGTATCACAGCAACAGAAAAGTGACTAACACACAGAGGGAGAATCCATAATGGTGGGAAGGCATGGTGGCAGCAGCAGAAAGAACTGGCCGCATTCCCATCCACACAAAGGAAGCAGAGACAGAGAGCAGGAAGTGGGTCCAGGCTAGAAACCTTCAAAGCCCGCCCCCAGCAACTAACTTCTTCCAGCAAGGCTCCACCTCCTAAAGGTTCCATAGCCTCCCAAAACAGTGCCACCAACTGGGGACCAAGTGCCCAAGTACATGAGCCTATGGGAATATTTCTCAGTCAAACCACTTGTCTTCCATCAGTGAGTATAAAATCTATTTATTTTTTAGGAAATGAGTCCACAATTCAGCAAATCTCAAGTATTCAATACTTAGCCTAGACAACCATTTGGGTTTTATTAACTGTTCTAATTTTTGCTTACTTCTCACTATTTGTTTCAATGGTCTGCTGTCATAGTGAGAATGTTAAATGCCCCTCATAAGCTCATGTGTCTGAGCACTTGGTCCCCAGTTGGTGGCTCTAGTTGGGGAGGTTATAGAACCTTGAGGAGGTGGAGCCTCACTGGGGGAAGTATGTTACTATAAAAGCCTGCCCCTACTTGCTAGTCTCTCTGCTTCCTGTGTTTGGATGAAATGTGATTAGTCAGCTTCCTGTTCCTATTGCCATGCCTTCTTTGCCTGTCACCGAGTCTTCCGCATCTGGAAATATAAGCCAAAATAAAGCCTTTCTTTCTCCCTTGATGCAAAAATATATAGGATTTTCAAAGCTAGAATTATAGCTGGGTGTGATGGCACATAGCTTTAATTGCAGCACTTGGAAAGCAGAGGTAGGCAGATCTTTGTAGGTTCGAGGACAGCCTGATCTGCATAGTAAGTTCCAGGCCAGCTGGAGCTACAAGGAGACCCTGTCTCAAAAAGACAAAAAAAAAGCTAGAATTACAACATATATATACAGAAACCCAGAATTTTATAATTTCAAATTACAAATCCTTTAACTTTAAACAATACCCATAAAAATTCCAATGGCATTTTTCATAGAATAGAAAAACAATCCTCAATTCTTATGAAAGCACAAAGACCCTAAATAGCCAAAGCAATCCTGAGCAGAAACAGAGATGCTGTAATCACAAGAGCTAATTTCAAATTACACTATAGAAGCATAGTAACAAAAACAGTAGTGGTACTGGCTGGCACAAAAGTAGACACAAAAACCAATGGAATAAGAGTAGAAGATCAGAAATAAACCAGCACAGCTATAGCCATCTAAATCCTGACAAAGGCACTGATACTGGAGAAAAGAACCTCTTCAACAGTTGGTGAGAAAGCTGGGTATCCAACTGAGTAGAAGACTAAAATGAGATCTTTATCTTTTTCCCTATCAAAAATCAATTCAAAGACATTAATGTAAGACCTGAAACTTTAACATTACTAAATAAAAACATAGAGAAAACCCTTAAGTGCATAGGTATGTGCAAGGACTTTCTGAAAAAGACACAAATAGCAAGAATTTATAAACAGGACCTCAGGAGGTTAAAAGCTTCAGTACTATAAATGAAATAATTACAAGAGTGAAAACACAGCCTGCAGAATGGAGACAATCTTGCCAGCTATTGATCTGATAGGAAACTAATAACTAGAAAATATCTGAGAACCTATGAAGAATTCAGATAAGTAAATACAAAACCAATAAATCATGTAATCAATAAATGGGCAAATGTATTGATTAAACAGTTTTCAAAAGAACTACAGAAGTACAATGTGCCAATAAATATATGAAAATATGTTCAACCTCCTTAGCCTTCAGAGAAATGCAACTCAAAACTCACTGAGATTTCATCTCACCCAGTCAGAATGGAAGGAAACAGGAAAATGAAAATGAGGGTACTAGGAAAAATGAACACGACAGACTCTGCACAGAATTAAATCACTGGAACCACTATGGAAATCAATGTAGAGACTCCTCAAAAAATTAATAATTGGGGCTAGAGAGATGGTTCAGCAGTTAAGAGCACTAGCTGCTCTTTCAGAGGACGTAGGTTCAGTTCCCAGCACCCATATGGCAGTTAACAACTGTCCATAACTCCAGTTCCAGGGGATCTGACACTTTTTTCTGGCCTCTGCAGGCATTGCATGACACAGGTGCATTTACATGCAGGCAAAACACTTATATGCATAAAATTAAGATGAATTTTAAAAACTGACCTACCATACAATCCAGCTATACCATTCCTAAAAATGTAACCGAAAGACTCTAGGCTAGCATACTACAGAGGGGCTACACATGTTTATTGAAGCATTGCTCACAGTAGCCAAGTTATGGGATCAGTTCACATGTCTATCAACAGAAGAATGGATAAAAGAAAATGTAGGAAACTGGAAAGATAGCTCAGCAGGTAAGAGCACTTGCTGTTCAGAGTCTAGCACCCATACAAAAAGCTGAGCATGGCCATGTGCATGCCTATAATTCCAAGGTTTCAGTGAAACAGAGACAGGTGAATCACTGGAGGTTGCTAGCCACTGTCTAGTCCAGATTCAATAAGAGACCTGATCTCAAAGAATAAGACAGAGAATGGTAGAGCAGAAACATCCAACATTCTCCTCTGGCCTCCACATGTATGTACAGGTGCTCACAGCCACACACATATGTACACATGTGCCACATACACAAACACACACAAAATATACACAAGACAATGTATGTATAAACAGTGGAGTTTTACTCAGCCATAAAGAATGAAATTATGCCATTTGCAGGAAAACAAATGGAACTAGAGACCATGACACAAGCAAAAGAAACCAAACTTAAGAAAGAACAATGTCACATGTCTTGTCTTATAAGCAGAATCTTCCATCGTGGCATGAAAGTAGAAGGGGCCATCCGGGGGGAGAAGAGGTCAAAGATGAGAAAGATACGGAGACAAAAGATGGTAAGCAGGTAGAGGGAAGGCAAGCATCACATTCTCTCTCCTATACAGAAATACAAGAATCATTAAAAAGAAATAGGACTTGTTGGAAGAACAAGATGAGAGAAAACAGGGAGGAAGGACAGAAAGGGTAACAGAAGGGTGAACATGAGCAAAGCACAATAACATGCATGTATGAAAATACCATAATGAAACTGACTATCTTGTATGCTAATGTAAAAATTAACACAAAAAAGAAACTCCCCAAAGAGTAATGCTGACCCCTCTTCACCTGTTGTAGCTATGTAGCTCTTCTTGGTCATAAAGACTGCTCATTAAAGCTTCCATACATCTATTTACTTATCAGCACTTTCACACCATTCCTTTTTATCTAATTGAGAATGTACAGTTCCAGAACTGACTAAAGAACCTTCCTTTTAGCTTCCTTAAAACCTGCAAACTTCGTTTTCATTGTACATTCTGTTTCTCTTAAAAGAAAATGCTGCATTAAATATAAATACCGTATTAGTAAATCTGGAAAATTCTGACAGGATAATGACTCATAGAAATACCAATAGTGAGGAGCAAGTAACCTTTGTGCTATTTTCAAACACAGGAACTTTGTACCTTTGTGTCTGACTAGCCAGATACTTAAAAAGGCCATGTCTATTTGGGTTAAAGAATAGCAATGTCAGTGATCAAAAGGGTAACCTTAGTAGTATTCCCTTAATAACTCTAGCTTTGAAAATCCAACTATGTGAAAATAATTACAAATTTATATATCTCCACATTAAGGGAATGGCAGTATTACTATGCACTATTTTAAAAACAGCATGTAACAATTTTTAAATATTTTAAATGATATTTTAATTTTTAACTGTTCTTTTAAAATTAACAATTAAACATGTAAACTCACCTTGTAAAAACTCCCCCTTGCAAGCAATGAAGTAGAAAAAAATAATGCTGACTTTCTAATCCTTCTTTCTTTAAATCAGCTTTGAACCATGAATAACTAAAACACTGGACTACAAGTGTTCCAAAAAGCACAAAGCTTAAAGTTAAAATACCAAAAACGTGTTGTCCTTCATGGAAAAACTTAACAGATACGTAAATGTCCACAACTAAGTCAATTACATAAATTATAATGCCAAGAACTGACATTATAAAATTGCTCTTAGTATATTTCATTATGAACAAATATAGCCCTTGGCTATCTACCCTCTTCTCACATACAAAAAGAAAAAATTTTCAGAATGATTATTAGTGCTTCATTTGGTTTAGCACTGAATTCTAATTTC